TTTTTTTGTTAGTGTTAGCTAGTCTATTTTCATTACTCAAGATGAAAGGATAAAAGTGATCAGCATTACCGATGTTTAATTCACTACATGAGAAATCTTTGTTTTCAATATTTATCTTGAACGTTATTACACAGAATAATAAAAGTTTAAAATTTAGAATGTTACTTTTCCTCCACAGAAGTCTAAAAATTACTACATAATTTAGAGGAAAGTGGTAGAGGAGGGAAAAAAGCTGCCAAAAATAAAGAAATTCCTAAAAGACTTTTTAATACAAAAATAATTAATTTATTATTAAGCGAGAAGAACACTTTTTAAAAGAAGCTTGACCTGACAGAAAAATTGGCTTCAGCAGTTTTAACAGCCTAACCTAAAACATATTTCTTTTTAGGCTTACCCTTTCCCAATTGTTCAACTGTAGTCTGTATTTAATGTGTTGTTATTCTTTTAATTTGTTTCTTTAATTTTCAAGATGCTGATGGTAAAATATTTCTCCAAATATCTATCCCTCCAAAAAATGGTATGCTGATTTTAACTTCAGTGAAGATTTATGTTGGTTGGGCCAAGGGGAAAAAAAAAAAAAAAAAGTTACAGGGCCCTGCTACTGCAACTACATTAAACCACAGTTTTCTGACAGACAAAACACTTGCTTACATTTTTTAAAGAGCAAATAAATGAAAATTCACACACTTCAATCCTTCCAGATGCAAAAGAAGAGATGCATGACAAAATAAAGAAGTGACTGTAAACTTACAATAACCAAAAGAATAACTGTTGTCGTGCTTTAACTGAAAGAACTCCTATTGAGCCAGGTATTACTTTGAACATCTTTCTTATCACCGGACAACTGCTACTTATACACTTGTGTTCTACAGGTGAGGGAGAGTAGTCATATTCTGCGATATGGTCCAGTTTTGCAAAGGTCATCAGAAATTATAGAAGACCATAACATAAATCATTCAACTATGCTCCCAATAAGCTGCTTCCAGCAAACGTCTGGGCAGAACTGCATCATTACAGCACACTGAACGCTTGCACATCACAAGGATGGGAAACTGAAGCCCATTACTGTGGGTTTAGGGACTACAGTATTTTAGCTCCACCATCATAATGAATGATATTCTAACCACACAAGACATTCAGCAATTAATATTACATTTTACTCACTGAACCACGTTTACAAGGGATGTTTAGGTTCTTGCGATTTACTATGTCTACTACTTACTTCCCTTTTACCCTTGTGTTTTATAGAGAGCCAGTATGTGCTCCACAAAGGAACAGCAAAGTGCCAGAACAATTAAAAAAACGTGACAGGAAGACAAACGAATATGCAGTAAGAAAAAAGGCCTACGGAAAATACTAAACAGGTAGCAGAGAGGCAAGACTAGGGTACGTTCACAGAATAAACTTTAAAGATTTTTGCCTGTTCCCGAAATAACTGCCATTTTCTGGATAAGACTTCTAAAAATGCTCAAGGAACACAGATGGAGAAGTCTGAGGGGAAAAAATCTGCTCATTAAGCAACCATAGTAAAATTTTCAGAATGAAACTAAACACACCAATATCCTAAACAATGGGGACAAATCTCCAATGATAAGAATAAATAACCAAATCTATTCCAAGACCAGAGCTTAATGGGCACCTATACATGCACGTTGAGGCTGCTCTGATGCGCTGTAATTACAGCGCGTTGGAGCAGGATCAATTATTACTAATTACTACGCTCCAGCAGACTCCAGCATCTCGTATATCAGCACCCCTGCACTGAGAAACAGCAGCAAGGGTGCTTTAACTAAAGTTAGTTCGACAAACTTTAGTTAAAGTGCCCTCCACTGCCATTTTTCAGAGCAGGGACACAGATACACGATATGCTCTGGTTGCTCTAATTAGAGCGGCTTTGAGAGCCGCTCTAATTAAAGCACCCCCTCTCTCCCCTGCTTTCCAGACCATGTGTATAAACACCCAATAAGCTAGCAAACAGAATTTTTAAATGCTATATTAGCTCCCTAGTATGCATACAAATCTCCAACATTTTTGAGGAAAACGAAAACTGAATTAATTTTCTTCCCAAAAATCACAACACACTTAGATTTCTGCCTAACATTACTCAACTTAGACAAAAAGTTCATTTTTAAAAAGAGATTGTTTTGATACAGCTCTTAAATATTTACTTAAACATTTTAGAGATACTTACATATCCTTTTGGAATATCTGTGTCCTCATTATTTCCAGGATCATTCTCGAGATGCTGTTTAATTTTTTCTTCTAATCCTACAGCATCTGCTCCTTGATACTGGTCAATTCGCACTTTGTTTCGGAAAAACAGAAATGTTGGTGTTGCTGATATATTATTGGTTGCAGCTGTTCCCTAGAATAAATTAGTTATTAGTGTAGCACAATAAAACTAACATCAAATAAAAATTACTAAACTCCAAGACAGTCCCATGGTCAAAGGAATATCTTTATTAATAGGCAGAAATGTTAGTAATTATGATTATCTGCATCTTGGCATGTCTAAATGGTAGCTGGTCTGGGGTAGCCTTAAAACTGAAGGCTTTGGGAGAAAGAGGCTTAAGAAATCTCTAGCTTACCTTGTTCCCCACCCCTTCAAAAAGAGGGTAAAGCCATATTTGGATAGCAGATAAACACTGTTGCTGTTAAAATTGGGGAAAGAATGGAGCAATCGCATTTGTTCCTTTTTCTGTTTGCCCTTTATCAGACATTGCATCCTGCCAGCTCCCCCAAATGGGTTGGTTAGGGTATGCAGTGGTAACAATCGTGCTGAGACATGCACTCACTTCATTAGAAAGTTTGTTCTTCTGATGCAATCATATCCATTAGGTTTAAAGAGCAAATTTCATTAGTGTTAAACCCAAAGGTTCCTCACTGACCTCCCTGTCCAACCAAGTTATTTTTAACCAATTTTTTTTCTGATTTTGATGATGTTATTTTTAGATGCTAAAGCTACCTGATGAAGAAGAAAAAAAAATTGCTTTGCTGTATTTAATACTACACCACTAAAACTTCCTTTTTTAAAAATGTATTTCAGATTGTGATTATGAATATGCAATTTTAAAACTGCATTTTGCTGGGTACAATACATTCCTGCATGCAACTGGTAAGACTTATTTATCTTAAGAAACATTAATTTTAAACCTTACTTTTTTACTTGGAATGCATAAAAAATTTAGAATGGTTGACTGGATTTTAGTGACATACTTGTTTAGTAAAAATTTTGTTGGTACATCTTAAACGCGTCTTGGCAATCCTTTCAAAATTAATGAGAAGTATTTACAGACTAACAAAGAGTGGTTTTCAACTTTTTAAAGAGTCAGAGCATCCCTCAACAACTATTTTTAATCTCGCACCATCCCTGGTTGAGAACCACTGCTGTACTTGCCTCTCTTTCCCTCAGTGATCCTCAAGCTGGGTCCTGCTGCATGCTCCTGCCTGTATTAGGGTTTTCTGATAAGCCTAAAGCAGGCAGTAGCAGAGCGATTACTAATGAATTTTCTGCCCTGGGCAAAAATCCCCTGTCCTGGTTGGGGGTTGAGAGGATGGGAGGAGGATGGGGTGTTAGGTGCCCTGGTTGTCCCCAGCTGCTCCAGCCAGCCAATGTAAAAGGCTGCTTCAGCCCAGATTAACCCCACTGGCCAAGCAGTGCAAAGGACTGCTCCACAGACTATCCAGAAGGGTTGGGTTGGGCTGTATAAAGGACTGTGGCCAGAACATACACCCTCACTACAACTCTTCCTAGTTTAACCCTACACACTCTTAAAGCAGTTACATGGTATGTCTGCCCATAGCCAAGTTTGTTTAAAGATGGAACTTGACGTATTTATGAGCAAAACTCATGATGTGCAACTGCGACAGCAAGAGAACGGGTTTGACATCCCTTTCAGTCTCAGGTTCCTACTCCATATGTTATCCAATTATTCCTGGTTACACTTATTTATTCTAGTCCAGAAAAACATGGATGCTTTCATGAATCGGCACACTTCCAGCCATCTCACCCACTCAGTAAAAGTACCTGTTGTCTTTGTACATGGACATTCTTTTTACAAGAGCAGTGATAATCTTCATCCTTTACAAACATATTTTCATTTTGTATTTTGTCTGCATTCCTACTACAGCTACATATTTTTCTAGTTACCTATCCTTATTAGTTCTCATAACATGTCATAATTCAGCACTACATACAAAGTCTGTTAATATTCTTTAGTCATTCCCTTTTCCAATGAAAATAAGACCTGTAGAAACTCAATACTTCTCTTGATTTTCAGCTTCCTGTTATTAATGTTTAACTTTTGGGTTTGGGTTCTTCAGTCAGATCTCAATTTTTGACCCTGTTACTATCCAAGTATACTGAAAACAGGTCCAAGTCATTAACAAGTGTTTTGCCAAACATTTATTTTTGTAAATATTTATGTTTACCAAAATATAACTCCATTTACAGAACTCCTTTTGGCTATTCTTTTGCTTTTTGTTTCTATTTATCCTCTAATTTACGGACAATTGTCAGTGTTCATAATCCTATACTACTGTTCTCTTGGGTTCTGTTGAACTTTCAACGTTTAGTATTTCTCCCTGGATGCACTCCCACACATTTAATATATTGTTCAGTTTGGTTTTAGGAGTTTCAGGATGGTCATGGCTAAGGTCTTTTTCTTTTTGAAATAAATGAAATGAGTTATTCTGTCTTTTGTTAGAAGCTCAGTTTCCTAAGTCTTCTAATATACTTCACTCATTAAGTTTTCATATGTATTCTAAGACAATGTAAAAGTGAATACAATCTGACCAAGCTGACTTGCCTTTGTTAAACAATTTCCAGGGATTACATGTCCTAATGCTTCATCTCACAATTATTAAAATATATATTTGTACATTTCTTACCTGGCACTGGTGTACATCTACCTCCAAAAATGTTGCCTGGGGATATTTGTTACTCAGAGCATTGAAAGCTGGAGCTATCCTTAAACACGGGCCACATCTGTTTAAAAAAAAAAAGTTTGTGAGTGGAAGTAGTTTCTGAAGCTAGAACCATATTTTGCCCCAGAAGACAAACTGAAGTCAATGAAAGTTGTGTATCCTTTGACTGGCTCTCAGACATCCTCTATAGGTTTCAGAATACCCCTCCCCTGTTGGCAAACATTCAGCAAGTGGATGCATGACTGAAAGTGAAACACTGAAAGACAAGTATGCAAGATGACTTGGCACTTCCTAGTTATTTCACAGTGATAAATGCTTTTATCATTTATGTTTAGTCATGTTTACACTAGCATGTTTAATTAGCTAGGAAATACAAGGAAGTTCCACCCTTGGAGCAAATGGGAGATTGCCACTCTCAAACAGCACTGACTTATAATCACAGCAGAAAGATAGGGCCTGGACGACTGGTACCAATCTAGGATTTCAATTAATAGTTCCATGGTTTCTAGGTTCAGAAGGGACCTGAACAGATCATTAAGTCCAACCCCCTGCCCTGGGTAAGAACGAGTGCTGGGATCATAATACCCCAACCAGATACCTATCCAATTCATATACTGGACTTTCACTTAATGGATTATTATTTAAGTATCTCTTTACAAAAGCATCACCATCTCTGATATCCTGTGGTTTCCAGTAAAGACTTACTCTTCTATGATGGTATTCTCTACACCAGAGCTGTCCAGCTTCTGAGTGGCTGGGGGCTGATGGCTGCAAACCCCACATGTAGCAGTGGGTGACCCTCATTGTGCTGCACTGGCACTCCTGCACCATGCAGGGCCCCCCACAAACCCAGAGCTGCAAGGTCCCGCAGCCCCACAGACTGCCCACCCTATGGGTGGAGACAAGTAGCAGGTCAGAGGGGGGCACCTGGCAGCAGCCCTAGGAGAACAATGAGGAGTGACACCTGAACAGGGTGCTCAGGGGCCACAGTTTAACATGTTTTACACAATGGATGGTATGCAGCCCATCTTCCTCTTTTTCTCTTGGTCACCGATTCACAGAAGCATAACTGCTGCAGCAAGGCATACCTTTTGGTCATTTTTGTAATCTGCAACTGGGTAATTTCTGTTGGATATAACCGCTTACCTAGTGTTCACGTGCTTTAAGAGTAGATAACACTTTAAGGCAGGGTTGTCAAACATACGGCACACAGGACAGTGCCAGAGCCCTTGTAACTACAGTCCTAATTTCCACAACTATCAAAGCTATTTCAAGGCGACTCCAGAACTTATGGAGTTAATGCCAGTTTTCACCTCCCCCTGCTTACTTACCAACAAAACTGGGTCCTGCAGTGGTGGGGAGCGACATCACTGCCACACATGGGTGGGTCATATTGGCTATGGGAAGCCTGGAGATTTGGATTTGGCCCACAAGTTTGACACCCCTGCTTTAAGGGCTGGTTGTAATTAGCTCTTGATATATATTATAAATATAAATATTAATAAATATTTATATATATTATAAATAGCTCTTGAAGGACTTGAAAGTTAATGAGTATCTACCACATTACTAAATGTTTTGCCGTGGGGAGGGGGAAACAGCAATACTGCTGCAAATAAAAATACTGTCAATAAAAATATGAAATGTATCTATTTCAGGCACAGTGGTGAATGCATTCATCTCAGTAAAATTTAGACACAGACAAATTAAATTTGCTTCTGCAGAAATTAATGAAACACTGTTCATTATAAGGTCGATTGCAACTTAAAACCTTCTGGTTACAACTTAACCTGTTTACCTGCTTTAGACCAGAGAAAGAAAAGGAGCCCTCTGCAGAGTTTCAACAAGACACGAGTATCATAACTAAAACAGAGAAAGCTATGAGCTGTCTTTGTTCCTTGTTTAGACAGTGCCTACTAAAATAAAAAGGCTCCTAGCAGGTTGTCATTAACAGGGTTACAGATTCATATTAGCTTAGGGCTGGAAAGGACGTTGCGAAATCATCGTGTCCAGTCCCTTGCTCTGGGCAGGAAAGACTGCTGGGGTCAAATAACCCAGCAAAAGGCGTGCGTCCACTGTCGCAGACAAAGCCTAGCAGAACGAGCTCCCAACAAGAATTCATCATGGTAGAGGAGATATCTTTTATTAGACAAACTCAGTTCCAAAAAAAAAAAAAAGAAAGAAAGAAACAAAAGAAAAAAAAAGTATTTGCAAGTTTTTGGGCATACATGTGCCCTTCCTCAGGCACAGAAGGGAGCAAAGATTGTAAAGTTTCCCCCAGGAAGAAATAAGGTTTGGTATTGTATAGGAAAGCTGGAGCAAGACAAGTTCTCCTAGCTGGAAAAGTAATTCCCAACAAAAAGTTACTTGACCTCAGCAGCCCTGGTGAGCTCAGCGCTGCGAATGCAGATGGGCCCAGAAAAAACGAAGAGACCAGACGCCCCATCCCAGTGACTCCAATGCAGCGCTGACTTTTGACATAGTTGTTAAACTGCTGCACGAATGCAAAACACTTATAGATATAGATAAAAGAAAGTGTTAAGTAAAAGGAAGAGCTAAGTTGTCATTATCTGTATATATTTATATCGATAAGTAAAAGAGCTAAGTTGTATTTATCTTTATATCTACATAGCTAGAAGAAAGAGCGAAGTTATATGTAACCCGCCCAAGCTAGCAGCTGGGCCCTCCCCTCCAGTCCCCGGGCAGGCCGGAAAAACCCCGCACTCACCCGCGCATGGTGAACTTGACCACAGCGAGGCGGGAGCCGGCGGCGCTGAGCTCGGGCTGGAACTCGGTGTCGTTCGCGATCACCTTCACGCCGACCATCCTCCCGGCGCCGCCGCGGGGCCGCGATGTGCACAGTCACGGCGGGAAGGGGCGCGCCCAGCATGCACCGCTGCAGCGCAGGCGCAGCGGGACGCGCCCCCGCTCCGTGGCCTTCCGGGAGGAAGGGCCGAGAGAGCCTCCGCACCACCCGGCGCGCCTGGGCAGCCATCTTGGCGTAGGGCACGGAGAGTGCATCCGTGGCGCCGGCGGCCATTTTGAATGAGGGAAAGGGTGTGGGGGAACATCTTGGCGGGGGTGGCGGCCGTCTTGGTTTGGGGCGGAAGAAGGCTCTCAGGAGAGTGGAACGGGATGAGCAGCCATTTTGGTTAGGGCGGAAACAGGTTAGCGGGATTAGTACCCATCTTGGTTTGGGGCGGAAGAAATCTTCTAGTGGAGTGTAGCGCCATTAGCAGCCATCTTGGTTTGGGGTATAAGAAACTCCCAGTGCAGTCTAGAGGGATTAGCAGCCATCTTGGTTTGGGGCAGAGGAGTCTTTCAGCGGAGCCCTAGGTGGATTAGCAGCCATTTTGTCTTGGGGCAGAAGAAACTCCCAGTGTAGTCCACTGGGATTAGCAGCCATCTTGGTTTGGGGCAAAGAAGTCTTCTAGTGGAGGGTAGCGTGATTAGCAGCCATCTTGGTTTGGAGCAGATGAAAACTCCCAGCTGCGGAGGCCTAGCGGGATTAACAGCCGTTTTGAGGTGTGGGGTTGGGCCTTGCCTTCCCTGTACGTCTCCGAGGGGAGTCACCCCTGAGCCTGGAGAGGGACAAGCCATGGACTCACTTGAACTTTGTGGCCCTGGTTTGCAGGGGTCATAGGCCTGTGCGTGGCCCCCCCAGGGCAGGGGATGCCCTGATCTGCCAGCAGGGGATTAACAGATCTGGTAGCTCCAGGCCTGGTTGAGACCAAATCTCAGCCCTCAGCTCGTCTCATCCGTGCGCTCAGAAGCAGTTTGTAAAGGGTTGGACGCATATTTTCTAAAACACAGTTAAATGTCTCGGCAGAAGGTCAGACCTCTTCGAATACCTGCAGAGCGGTTACAGAGAGTGGAGGGGGGCTGTTTGCTGTGGACAGGACTAGGAGCAATGGCCTCAAAATGCAGCATGGGAAATTGTGGTTGGACATTAGGAGGAACTTCCTGACTGAGGGTGGCCAAGCATGCAACAGGCTACCCAGAGAAATTGTAGCATCGCCATCTTTGGAAGATTTCAAGAGCAGGTTAGACAGACACTTAGCTGGGATGGTTTAGTCAAGGATGAACCTGCCTTGAGCAGGGGGCTCAAAATTACTTTATGAGGTGCCTTCCGGCCCTACTTTCCTATGCTCCTAGGGCATCAGGAAAGGGAAGAAACCCACAGCCCAGCACCCTCTATACCTCCAGGTACATACACACTGGAGTTCCAGAAGTGACTCCCATGTATGCTAGGTGCATGAGCGCTGTCTGAGCTCAGGTACCACTATTAATCCAGCTTCAACAGAGCAACACTCAGCACAGATGAATTTGCCCCATTTCTTGGCTGCCAGTGCTTAACTACCTCAGAAACAATAAGCCACAGAGTAATGGAAAAGTGGTATCATCTTGGAAAAGAAAGTCTGTTCTGTAGCTGTTGCTGGCTTAAGACTACAGAAGACATTAATTCATGATGGGATTTTCCTGCTTCATTGCATTGTTCCTTTCCATACTTTAAAAACCTCTTTAGATTTTCAGGTTATCTGAGTAACAGGTTTGCTTTCAGAGACGTAAATTGAAGGGTGTTAGAATGACTTGTGTTTGATTTTGCCTTGATGTGCATCAATTAAGGTAGCTTAGGCTCATCAAAGACTGAACCAACTGCAAATGTGGAGACTTAATGGTACAGCAAAGATGGTGAGTCAGTAATGTAATAAAACATCTGACATGGTCACAAGAGGTTAGTTCCTGTAATTAGGACCAATCATTAAAAGCTATTTGACCCATGCTGTGTTTACCTATGTCTGACTTTCTTTGTCAAAAAAAATCCTTTTTATAAGAAAAGAAATAGCTTTTCAAGGTGATACCTTTTAGTGGCTTCCTTTTGTTAGCTAGGATGGTGGGGGAAGATAATTATGTCCTGCAATGAAAACAGTTACAGTGGCTCGTGTAAATGGCACGTCAAAGATTATTACATATTTCCTGTTCACCCATAGTGGCATAGTAAAGTAGTACATCATCTCCTAGGAACCCATCCTACTGTTCCTGGCACTTTTAACTGTAGTATCTTGTGAAAAAGCAGAAAGCAGAGCGATAGGACCCCATAAGACTGGTGTTGGTAGGATTGCTTTTAACATACCAGCAAGTTCACCTGCACCTCTTGTCATATGCTACTAAGGGTGCCAAATCTCACCCTTAGAGGCCATTTAGGATGCTAAACCACTTAATTAATCCTGAGGGTCTCCAAAAGAAACAAGAATCAAGCCCAGAAGAAGATTATCATTCTACTGACAGCATCAGATAAAGTAGGTTGTTGCCTGCAAAAACTCATGTCTGTCTGGGCTATGTAGTCCCTAAGGCAGTGGTTCTCAAATTTTTTAGCCTCTCTCTAGTTTCCTAACTTTTACTTGTTCTATTTTTTTCTGTAGTCAAATAATAATTCATTTGTTGCAAACAATTCAGAAAGATGACAGGTCAGAATGTTTGGACACTGGATTTCTTTGAGTTTAATTTCTGAGTCATGTTTGCATACCTAAGTGCTAACTGTGTGGTACCAGCACCCTTGAAAGGATCTCCAGGCGCCCCAGGGTTCTGTGGCATCCTGGCTGAGAATCACTGCTGTGAGGTGCCAGCCACCCTACCTTCTGCCAGACTTTGGACTAACACAGTTAACCACCTCTCCACCGATGCAGGGCACCATGCCCAGCAAAGTGAAATGGACGGCAGTCAGTCTACACACGAATCATTACAGCATTTGACAAAATACAGTAGTTTGTCGCCAATAAAAGCTCATGCTTCTTGGAAGCCTGCCCTGCCTTGCGCCTGACTTCAGACTATGGCTAACCACCTTTTACAGTACTGAAAAGGTCACAAATGTTCAGGAAGTCTTCACAGACAGCAAGGATCTGATCAGCTGTACTTCCTGAAAGCTCAGCTCAGTATGTTCATTCATTAATAGGGGGCTACTTAGATATTTCCTGGATGTGCTCCAGTGGCCCTGCTCCTCGGCACTAATTGGCAGAGAGACCCTGGCAGGGAAGGGATGAGAGGGGTCCACCACCTTGTCTGTTGGCTGCCCTTTATGCAGCCCCACCCCTCAGTACCAATTGGCAGAAAAGCCTCGGTGGATGGGAGGAGCAAGGCCACTATCTTGTCTGTTGCCCTTCATGCCATCCCACCGGCTGGCACTTTCCCAAATATTTTCGGTGCCGCTCAAAAAAAAAAGAAAAGACAAAAGGTTCCTACACTACAGACTTCAAAAAAATATAGAAGAACTTCTACAAAAAATGAAAGCAAGAAAAGTTATCTACATCTCTTGTGTTGTCATGCCATACAATCTTGACCAGCATTGGCTCTAGGGTGATTTTTTTTCTAGGCCAACTGGAAAATCTCAACACTTCCAGCTGAAAGTAATCCGCATGCAAATAGCTTGTTGTTCCAGACAAGCGTCTGTTCTCTTTGGATGTCAGGATGTCCAGGCTTATTTGCCAGGAGTCGGACAGCTGTATATAATTTGCATATATATATTTCTGCATGACTTTTATCACCCAAAATAGATCCACACAGCACAGAATTTATACTTTTATCTTCCATAGTAGATGCATAGAAATTGCTTGTTAATTCACCAGCAATAAAAACTTAAGAGTTGATCAAGTTGGTCTTTACCCAGTGGTTATAGGGAACTGGTGGTGGGAAATACATGTAGTCCATGTTTAGGTGGCATGCTATGTGCCAATGTACATCCTAAAGCAAGTCATGAATCAGTTTCCCTAATTTAACTGCTTTTAGCCAACATAAAATGCTGCCTCTAGTTTCAAGTACAGAAGTTACTTTTCACTTTCTGTCCCAAACAGTTGTGAAGTGTTGCTGTGCACTGTTAAACAGATAAGGAAAAAAAATAATTCCCACTGTAACTCCATTAATATCACTGAAGAATTTGGCTTGTTGTTTTTGCACTATAAACACTGTTACAGCTACAATAGAAAAAACAAAATAATTATATATTGCATGCAAAATTCCCACGTTAAATGAATGGCATTTAGATTTCAAAGTCAAGGACTTAAAAGATAGGAAATGCCAGAAATAAAGCTGATAATACAACTGACTCCTCAGGAAATTTGGCTCAGTTGATACACGGGACAGACAGCACTCAGGAAACAAAAAAGGCAAATGCAGTTAATGAAGCCGTCACCTGCAAGATGCTGACTTATTTGCTGTAGAAGCTGGAAGGTGTGTATGAAATGATGCTGAAGCCAGCACAAAGAATAAAGGTATGGTCTTGGCTAAGGCTACTATATAGAAACTCTCAAAAAGGTCCTCGGCCTTGTCAGTCTTCCTCCATGATGGGGGATAAGTGATATAAATCAGTGGCTTTCAACTGATGGTCCACAGCCCCAGACAGAATCCTGCGAAGACTTTGCTGCTCCACAGAACAGCTACAAAGAACCAATTAGCCCATTGATCACAGCAGTGATATCACTTCCCTTGTGGGAGGTCGCATGTGGGGAGCTACTCCCTGGTTGTGCTGCTCTACACTGACATAACACAAAGGAGATTAGACAAGCACCTGGCTGGGGTTACGTAGCCCCAGTGCTCCTTCCTGCCCAGAGCAGGGGGTTGGACTCGATGACCTACTGAGGTCCCTTCTGACCCTAGAGATCTACGAACCCTGCACTGAGGCAGCACCTCTGTACTACTTCCAGAACCAATCTGAATGCCCTCTGCCTGGTTAAGGTGGGCTGCAGGATTAAAAATGTTAACATAGCTTAAACCAAACATTTTGCAGTTACCCACCAATTACTCATTCCTCCTTTCTCAGGCATCACATTTAACACTTGAAACACCTGATTTTTTTCAGGTAACTGCAACTGAAGTGACTCAGGGCCTCCCAACTGCTTAATGT